GGTACTAATTTAAACCCGTAAAAAAAGAATGAACGAACTACCCACTGGGCAAATGGTAACTACTTTTGACGAGGTGACCAGAAGGTGGCATGCCAGGCTTTGACGGAACGCTAAGAAATATTAGACAAATCAATCGGGGACCTGAAGTCCATTAATAATGCCTACATAATATCAAATGTGAAGATATCTGTAGATCCACCAAGTCAACTAATGAGTTTATTTTAGCTTCCATTCGGAAAAATTCGGAAAATGCAGGAAATCTGTTCGCAACTGAAAGGTTTAATATTTATGAGTTCGCTACGGTAAAGGCAAAAGGACATGCGTAATGTACTTACCTGACACCGAACCCAAGCACCAGGCGAACTCTTACACGGTACTGAACAATCATGCCAAGATTCTCCTTCTGATGAGGGTCGCTGATGCTGAAAGATGAGCAAACATCGGTGGTACCTCAAGGTCAGACTTCAACAGTCAAGCACTCCGCATAGACAAAATACAAATATCGTAAGTAGCAGCTAATTTAATCCTACAAAAGGTAAACGTAAAGTGGCAGAGGAAGATAGGAAGGAGATACAGAAAAAGTAAGAAGAGTACGAGTTTTCAGATTTCGTTCCTGCAGTAACGCGCAGCTGAGGCAGGTAGTAGACTGGTTTTTCTGTCATCCGCACAGAAGCCCGTTAATAACTCAACAAGTTTGGCAATCGAACTGATTTGCGCTGGATGTTCAGTAAGAAAGAAGGGCGAAGCTTCCAATTCACTTAACGTTATAATTACGTAATAGCCACCTAGCGAACTGGCTCCCATAGGACTGTGGGTAGGCAAATAAGGCTTATTGAGTCGACCTGGACACAATTACATTTGAATATTAGAAATATGCAGTCGAATTGAAGGGTTAACGTTTCAAATCCCAACACTGCGGAAAATTACTGAAATAGGTAATTAAACCAGGTTCACCGAATAAAAATTCCACAAGAGAAAAAGATGGTAAGATGCTCGAATGACGCAAGGTAACCTCGACTGAGTCAATACAACTACGGAGGCGCGAGGCAAAGGAACTAAAAACAGCAAATCGATTAGATGTTTTTGAGTGCGAGTCCTTGTGCGTGTACAAAAACAGTAACAATTTAAGAAGTACGATATGGAAAAGAGAGATGTAGAAATTGAAAGCCTGAGTGAAACATAAACGAATGACTTCTACTTGGTTCGAGAATATGGACCTCTTCCAGTACTAGAAACTAGTATGGCTCAAGAAAATTAGTAAACCAAAGGCAAGAAAAGAAAATCCAGTTCAAATTACGAAAAATCGCCCTCGCTACACCTACCACCTCTTAAACTCGAAGAAAGTCACTTTAGAAAGTAGCAAAACGTGACGTTTGTTTCAAGCAAAAGTTAGTAACCTAGAATACGTGAGATAGAGGAGGAGGAGAAGGAGAAAGAGAAAGAGGCAGGTTAATAGGACGCACATAGTAGAAGAGGCCAGATTGGTGTCCTCATTTTTGAGTTTGCCGTCCAGAGCGAGACCACGTTTCTCCCGATTGTTAGAGAGGAGCGGGCACATGTGGTACACTTTGCACCAACCCGTTTGGCTCGGCAGAATTGGCAAACCCTCGCTGTGAGGAGTAAAACAAGTGTACAAGAAACAATAATTAGAAACGAATTGCCGCATGGCACAGTAGATGATAATGATGCAGTTTGGTGGTCGAGATTTGGAGGAGGAATAGTTTAACGCACAGTTGTTCTTGTTATTTTGATTCGCTTGGGAGATTTAAGGTTCAGGAAGCCTTAAGCTGTATTTCAATCTGGTTTACGGAAGGAAAT